GGAATCTTCCCGCATGCGCTCTGGTTCTCTGGGTGGCTCTGGGGTTAATCAAGTTTAATTGTTTCTCTTTGCAACAATCTTCACAGGAAGGTAAAACAGTTAAACGGCAGGTTACAGATATTTCCATTTGACTTTTATTTTGACAGATGAACTCAAGGATGTTGCTTGGTTTGAAAGAATTACCCAGACGCACACGGATGTGCATGGATGAGCTGACATTTTAATCGTTAACGCACATCGCGGAGGTAAAATATTCCCATCAGAACATCAGAGCTTTATACTGGACACTGTGTTCAGCGCGGCTCGGAGCGCCCACGGTGGACAGTGAGCTGAAGATCTGGGGTTCCAGCGCAGCACAGAACCACGGCCATGCGATAAGATTTCCTCCCACTGAAACAGTCTGGAAACCCGGTCTCTCTGAGGGATGTGTCACTTGGAAAAATGTTCTTTTTATGAAATTATGAAACTTTGGCTGAACAGCGCTTGTTCCCGTCTCTAATATGGAGACGCATGACACATAGAGACATTTGATCACGCACAAAGTTTATGTGGAGCAGAAGCGGTCGGGCCACGGCAGGTGAAATGTTCCTAGCCTACATGAAGGGAAACTGTTTAATATTAACATTAATATGTTACTGGACACGCTGGTCTTGTTGGTTAGACCAGTGTTTGAAGTGGAAAACACACACACACACACATACACACACACACACACACACACACACACACACACACACACACACACACACACACACACACACACACACACACACACACACACACACACACACACGCACGCACGCACGCACACACACACACACACACACCAATTAAAATAATGCTGATAGCGTGGACTAGAAGCCAGGTGATGGTTTCCGTATTTAAATGATGATCAGGCTGCTGTAAAATGTAATCTCCATCCACATCCAGACACAATTATCCTCTATTCTTTCTCTAGTTGCTCTGCTCTTGTCTGGGCTGATCAGCTGATGGTGCGCGCGGCGCGCCTAACGGCTGTGGTGCACATTTTACGCATTTGGAGAGGTGGGCTGGATGCTTTGCTTTTACTGGAATATGGTCCACTTAAGTACGGGTGTAGACTACATATTAATGACAAATGAATGAAAATTAAATTGTGAGTTTTTACTTCATATTTTATAAATAAAAAGGACGGGGGAACACATTTATGACGTCTTTTTAAACTAAATTTTCTAGAGCGACCTGCCTGCTTCACTTAAGTCACTGCTTATTAAGGTCCGTCCAAAATTACCGTGGGAAACGGGTAATAATGGCTCTTTGATGGGAACAGGTTGCCGATCCCTGGTAAAAGATCTGAGCTGGTAAAACAAAAATCCTCATCAGCAGGCGTTTTTGAAAGTGGGGGGGACACAGCTGCCAATCACAAATTTTGCCGGGGACATGTCCCCGGCGTTCCCGGTTAAAATGATGCCTATGGGTCTGAATAGAAATGGTTTCTACTCCTCCTCGCCCTGTACTTCGAGCAATATGATGATTTAAATAATTAGAAGGAGTCGACTCGTTTAAGCTAACATAGTCCTCTTGCTGCAGCCAGGATTCTGTGAGAGAGAGCAAAGAAATCTGATTATCACAAATCAGGTCATTAACTAACAAAGTCTTAGAAAAAATGGATCTAATGTTCAATAATCCACATTTAATTTTTCTAGTTTTCTGCTCAGTTGAATTAGTTCTAATATTCATGAGATTTCCATGATTTGCTTTATTAAGCCTGATATTTAATCTGTGTGATTTTGGCCGTGGGCAGGACACTGTCTCAATGGGGTAGTGGGTGGATAACAGTACAGAAGCTGCAGAGGGGTGTGTTAAACTACGACTCTGCTTCCTGGTCTGGACCCTGGGTTGTCATGGAGGACTAATAAAACTAGCCATGTTCCTAGAAAGAAGAGCTGCTCCATCCAAAGAGGGATGGATGCCGTCTCTCCGCATCAGACCAGGTTTTCCCCCAAAATAGTTTTCCAATTATCAATGTAGCCCACGTTGTTTTCAGGACACCACCTAGACAACCAAATATGCTGTGATGTTAGTCTTCCTGTGAAAAGAAGAAATCTTTAACACAATCACAGCAGTTTGCACCAGATATGTAGTAGTAGTAATAACAAAAACAATAATAATAATAATAATAATAATAATAATAATAATTAATAATAATAATAATGTGAGACTGATCTATTTAGATCCTAATTATTGTTAAGATTTTTTAAAATATAAATTAATTTTAAAACAGGTCCAAATGTATAGATCAGCTCAGAAAGGTGAATAAATATGAATAAATCACAACAGAATCTTTATTTGATGCTTATTGGATTTTCATACAATTCCAAAGAATAAACAATAATTTAAACAATCCCATCTGTCATCAATAAAGAGCAAAAATACTTTGGATATTTTACATTAATAACACTGTTATTTTTACTTTAAGCTTTATAAAAACAAATACCAAAATTGTATGAAAACATGAAATATAAACTGACCTGATTATAAATCAGCTGAATATATTTACAAAAACCCAAATAAACATCTTCATAATAAATCACAAAGAGATATTTAGTTTATTTTCCTTCCGTGTGACTCAGGAGAAACTATGAGCTGAAATAGAGTGTAGGAATGTTTCATGATGATTTCTAACCTCCTCTGCTGTGTAGAGTTCAGTCTATAAATATAATCAGTTGGAGGCTTCATTGGCTTCCTTCGACTCACAGCACCTAAAACATCAGGATGCTATTGTAGCATACAGCCTACTGGGACATTGAGCGTCACATCGTATACATGGGAACACAGGTGCAGCTGACCCTGCTGCAGGAATCCATTAGCATCGTAGCAGTAGCAGCCAAAGCAATGTTGCTGCTGTAACATGCTACGATGTGGAGGATGTACAGGAATGTCCGAGAGCAGAGTTTATTCCTGCTCCATACAGGTGGCTAAGAAACACCGTGGCATGCTAACGTTGGGCTACACAATGCCTCGTTGTTCATCCGTTTTTGTGTGAAACAAATTTTTGACGAGGTGCTGCGTCTGTGGAAACAATCTTTCTCCAACGCTCTGGGGGAGAATAATATTAGAAAGTCAGGCCAAAGAGTATTACGTCCCTGGGCATAAAGTCGGTGTTGTGCTTCTGCTTCTTTGGTTTAATTCAAGACAACAAACAGCAGCTTTCTAGTACTTTTACGGAAAACTAATATCTTAGATCTCTTACAATAATATTGCATTTCAATAATTCACAAATAGGCTGTGACTTTACTGGATAACAAACAGAATGTTAATCACACACACCCCTCTGGACAGAACATGAATATGCTGATTTTACATGAGTGAGGAGTTTAGCTGTAACTGGGAATCTCTGGGTTGTAGCCCAGTGGACCAGTCGGATGTCTGACAACAAGCTTTTTGTTGTTCCAAGTTAAATCTGTATGTGTTCTCAGAAGCACCAGTAAGATTCGGTTCAATGGATGACTGTTACCCAACAACCCCACCACACTGTCCCAACTCAACTTTCTCTGACTGTTTCAGAGTGGCTACATGCTAAAACATAATGCCATGCTAGCCCGGTGCTGATGTTAAATTATTTAATGGTCAACTTTTTAAAAACTTGTATAGTTATAAAAAGGCCATAAACAGAAATATTAGAAAAAAACATAACATGAGTATGTCTCAGCCTGCTGGAGAGACAAAATTCCACCACTCTGGAGATGCAAGTGGGGTCGCACTAAATCATCCTGATGGTCACAAAAAGGCCCTGGAGCTGCAAATTGGAGACGCCTACCTTAGTGTTTTGTTTAGTCAGAAGGTTTATGGTGCTGCTGATGTTCACCAACACTTCAATGATGCAACACTTAAGTTAGGATTCAAACCTCTCATTTAAAGGTCAAACGGGGGTGGCTAAGGGGCTGCTCGAGCTACATTTCACTCATGTGTGGCATGGCTTTGCTGCTGTAATGTCTTAAATACCCGATATGAGTTCATTTTCCCGGCAGATTTCTTTGACCTTTAGGTGGAGTTAACCGTAGCTTCACGCTTAAATGATTGAACAGTCTGATATTAAATTCTCAGCAGGAAGGTGAGGAGCCTTTGAAGACAAGAAGATAAAAAAATAAGAACATTTGGAAAAATAAACCCTGAAATAAAGAGGAAAAAAAGAGTCAACGATGGGATGAGAGGAAAGAAGGATGATGCATTTGTGTATGGCTCTTCAGCAAGGTGAAGTCATTTCGCTGCAAGCTGCTTTAGCCGTTCACCTGTGGCTGACATCTTGTTGGCATGTGGGCCACTTTTCTTCAACAAACCAGAGGCGGTGGCTTGCGAGATGCAGAAGAGAACAGTTTTGTGCCGTTTTGCTGCTCTTAAACTTGAAAGCTCTTGTGCGCTTGAGTCTCTCGAGTCCGAGATCCGGCAGCGTAACCAGGCTCAGCTTCTCTGGAGCTCGGCAGAGTCAGGCAGTGGAGTCTGTAATTAAATGTGAAGTGTTGTATGCTTAGACATTTCTTAAGTCCTGAATAAGACATTTGGAATGTGTAATCTCTTTAATATTCCAGCAGCAGTGCATCGTGTCAAGAAGGTGTCACATGGACGTCTCGGAGCCTCGCTGTAAGGTGAACTGCTCAGAGTTTGTTTGCGGGGTGGAAGCTACGCTAGGAGGCTGTCAGAGCTCGTCTCGGGTAGGGTGACATGCGCTCAGGCACACTTGCATTATCACGAAATTACATCTCTCTGGCTCCTGATGCATATCATGTCTCCCAGGCATTTAATAAACAAGAGAGCTAGCTTTGTTTATCAAACGCTCTTCCTCTTTTGACAGGCTCTACAGTTCCTAAATCATCCACGTCATTCTGATAGATGATGCTTTGAACTTCTTAGTCCTATAAACACAAGACAGCTTAATTGGTTAAAATAACAGATTGAAAGCTGTGTGATGATTTGTTTTAGCTAGAAACTAACTGTTTCTTCATTTATACACAAAGCCTGTAGTGATATGTTGTTTTTCTTTATTTAAAACCACAGCATCAGCTCCAACAGTATTTCTAGAGTGTTTTTTTGGGAGTAGGGGCACAATTGCTCAAAAAAGAAAGAAAACATCCAGCCTAAGGGAGCAGCAGTTTCCTGGTAAATTCATAACCTCATTACATCCCCCATGAAAATGGGCCTGAGATGTTCACATTCACTGAGGATTGAATTTAAGAGTCTGACTTGCAACTGGCACTCCACCCACTTTTAATTCTCAAAGCCACTTAATCCAAACAATACCATACTGTTGTGTTTTCCTCTGAGGCAACCAGTGGGGCGTTACCTCTAAGGTGAACACATGCAGGGAAGTGGTTCAAAAGTAAAATCTACCTTTAAACATTGCATCTGGATATAAGAATAACAATTGTTCTCTGGAAGTTTTCATCCAACTACAGTTTTGTGGAAAAAAGTATTTGATTACTTATAGATTTTTTGACACACATAAAGGGCCCATACCATGCTACTTTACACCTCCCACAGCAATGGTAGGCCCACGATATGATGAAACATTACCACTGGCACTATTGAGATGTCATTTTTTAATGAAATTTAAAAATACAATTTGTGAACCATTCTTTCAACCCACAAATAAGGTGCTTGGATTTGATGACCCCCGCAAATTCCACTTTAGTACACGGCTAAAGATCCAGAGAAAGGGGGGGTGGGGGGTTTCCCACAAGCACACACCACTCGGATGGAGAAAAATCAGTTGGGATGAATCAGTCCCAGTTTGTCTCTTGACGCTCACCCACCAACCTTTCTAACCATTCAGCTAGCATTTAGCATTTTGGTTGTACTCACTGCCCTGGCGCTCTGTCGGGCGACTTTAACGCTGGATTGGTGCCGGTTTTAACAAGTAATCTGTCTGAAAACCCACTTCGATATTGGCAGACGTTTAATAAGCTGTGTGTGAAATCACGGTTACATTCTGGCTCAGTTTTTGAGAGCTCCTGAAAACACAAAATCCAACCATTTCCGCAGATTTAACTTCATTTGGAAGACTGGACAGCTATTCTGTTCTCTCACAGGAAAAAATACTGTTTTTGATTTCTAGGCAGACTAGATTAAACAGAAACAATTTCTTTACACTGTGGAGGTTAAACTCCTAGCTGGCTACATTGGGAGACTGGGTGTTAGTGTTTACAGTCCAGGGGAGGAGAGATCCGGACCCGAGAGGCTACCTGGATGTTGGCGGAGTGGCCTGTGATGACAGCAGACAACAGACTGGCCCCAGGTAAAATCAGTAATCACCTCACTTTTTAAAGCATGTATTGACTTTGATTAGCCTTTTTATTTAGAGCAAGACCATCATGGCAACAGTCAGACATGGTGGCGTTTTGCTGCTTTAGCACCTAGACCACTTCCTGTGACTGATGAAACCATGAATCCTTTCCTCTAGAGGAAAATCCCGTAGAATATCTCACCTTTGACCTTGACATTGACAGTGTTCCCCAGGGCAGCTGTGGCTATCTTGCAGCTCATCAGCATCAGTGTGTGAATGTGGTGTAAAGTGCTTTGGAGCCCTCTGACTCTGAAAGGCACTATACATGTGCAGGCCGTTTATCATGGGAAAAAGTCTGTGAAGAAGAGTGGGACAAAACTCTTCCACAGGGATGTGAGAGACTCACCACTAATAAAGGCTAATTTACAGTCATTGTTGCCAAGGATTTTACAGATTGTTATGAAAGCTGCAACGCCAATGCAAGCCAGTGACTGGTGTTTAGCACGTTCCTGTTTACTGTGGCAATGTAGGTGTTGGGCTTTGATATAATAGGGAATATACCAGAGAAGAGAGGTGAGTGTTGTGTGACTGTGTTTGTGTTCAAAGCCTAGCTTGTTTGCATATTTGTTACAAAAGCTTTAAATTTAAGGGTTGGAGCCAGAATAGTATGGCTATGCATTTTTTTCTAATGAATTATAAGAAAAATACATTTTGTTTTTATTTTAGATGAATTTTATCTAAATACAGAAGTTTGTTTGCTGAATTGCTGTCCTGCCTAATGACCGTACACAAACAGTGCAGAAAGGCAGTCAGTGGAAAACACCGCAATGGAGCAAACACAGGGTCTGACATGTTCACGTTGACTGATGCATTCAAACACAATCACACTATCCATGCTCACAAGAGGAGTCGTCTGAACCCCCTTTTCAAGTTGCACTTACCACCTGGTACGTTGCCTATTTTCTGCAAACTGTGAGTTCGTGAATTGTCTGCGTGACTTCCCATGTCTAAACTGTGAGCTCATGACATCTATTTGAAGGCACAGTGTTTGTCCAGGGTCCAATATCCCCAAGGTTTTCCAGTTCAGCTGTGGAGCATCAAACCCTGTGTACATAAACCTGGTGAACACAGATCTCATTATGTGCCAGATTAATTCAGTAAACACATAAAAGTATCCTTACGACAAGAACATGACTCATTCTGAAAAGGCACTGAGTGAATCACGGCACATCCACTTATTACACACAAGTTTGTACATTTATCTCTGCTACATTATTATTTGTTATGGCCGGTGAAGGCTTGCTCTTCAGTCCCTCAGTGGCACACCGGGAGGTCTCCATGAGAAGCAATCGTGGGATGCAAAGAGCAAGGAGGATTGTTTTGTACTCCTTCCGAAAGTTTTGGTTGAGCAGCCCATATATGATGGCATTGAGGCAGCTGTTGAAGTACGCCATGAAGTAGCTTGTGACAAAGAGCCACTCAGGTATTTTGGGCGCAACCTTCACAGGGTTTATGGCCACAGCCAGGCCTATGAGATTCAGTGGAGCCCAGCACACAGCAAACAACACAAACACCATAAACATGGTCAGGAAGTTCCTCACATCGCTAGGTTTCAGCCTAGTCCTTTGATCTGGCTTAACTCGATGTTTCACTTGAATCACCAGTACCCATATCCTCATGTAACAATAGGACACGACCAGCAATGGGATCAGGAAGTGAATGACCACCACCGAGATGGTGTAATACGAGCTGACAGTCTGAGCGAAAGTACACGAGTAAATCCGTGGGTCGTACTGTAGAGAACCAACAAAAAGGTTTGGCACCGTCGCGATGGCTGTGAGCAACCAAGTGAGGCCCAGATAGCAGCATGTGTTCCTCAGGCTGTACAGGCGATCATAGTGGAGGCTGTGGCAGATGTAGCAGTACCGGTTGATGGCGATGGCCGTGATGTTGAATATGGAGCCTATGACACTAAGGCCCATGATGAAGCCACTGGCCTGACAGTGTAGGTCGCCCATGGTCCAGTCATTGTGGAAGATAGCTGTTAGGACCAGTGGGTACGGGTACAGCGCCACCACCAGGTCTGCTACAGAAAGGCTCACCACAAAGATGTTGCCTTGAGAGACAGGAGAGGACAAGGATCAGAAACAACTTAAGCTTGTTTTAAGTTAATAGATTTTTATTTATTCCAACATTTTGGTTGCATTTAGAAGACTTAGGACTGAAAAGTGTCTGCTCATGTGTATGATAACATCATCGACATACATATGGATAGCATTCATGACTTCTGTTGCTGATGATTGATAATAGGGCCCCCATTCACACTTGTAGCGTACCGCCCATTAACATGATATTGAGTACAAAGTCATAGCTGCTGTCTGATAAGATTCAAGGTGTGGTGCAATGGTGGGCACATCGTGATGGGATCTTTGTAGGAAAGTGCTGCAGAAATCTATAGCATGGTGAGGCTGCAACTTTGCCACATTCCAGCTTTCTATTAGGTTGTGGGGAACTAATCCTATGCCAAGAGTGCTTTACTGATTAAACTGGTTGGTAGGCAGACTAAACCAATGTCAACATAACAACCTGTTAATTATCAATTATATTTATCATTACAATTTTATCAGATGTACTAAATAGCTACAAACCCCCCTCAAAGCAAACAACCTATAACTATGGAAAAATCACATGTTGCTCTCCTTTAGAGAAAGCACAAAGTCCTTTCTTCTATAATTCACACCTCTGTCCCCTCTGGAGATGCGCATTTTATCTTAAAAGACCAGCATCATTGTGGCCCAGTACATCATTTTGATAATGCTTTTTTGTCATTCTCTCATCTGAGCTGATCTGAGTCCATGTGCATGCTTTTCTTGTCACTGACATTTTTAGCTGTACTCTAGGTATGTCTCCGTGGCTACTAATGTCTTATTTTAAGTATATTAGACCTCTGCCATGGTAAAGCCAAAATAGTCCAGCATCTGCTGAGTGGTATTAGACGCTGATGTTGGTATTCATTTGCAGTTCTGTGATATCCCAAATGTTCTTTTATAGCCATTTTACCTCAAGCTAACATCTGGCTTTCTGAGTTTTTAACTCATAATCAAACAACGGGACTCGTGGTTTACTACTGTGAGATTTATCATAACAATTGTAATTAAAGGTTCAGAGGTGGAAAGATTACTAAAATTTCGTACTTAAGTACGAGTACCAATACTTTGATAATTTTTTACTCAAGTACAAGTAAAAGTACTTGCCAAAATTTTTACTCAAGTAAAAGTAAAAAGTATCATAAATAAAATGTACTCAAAGTAAAAGTTACTTAGTCACATTTTAGTCAGCGTAAAGATAGCTACAACACACACACACACACACACACTCACACACACACAAGCACACACACACACACACATGTTAGAATCTTTTGAATCACTAATTTAACTACATTGAACTGCTTCAGTAATACTTAAATCTCTTATTCTGGAGTAAAATAAAGAAACAAGCTAAATCATCACATATGTGTGGCATCAAGAAGCATCTTCTGAGTTCAAACACTGGGATGGAGCACAATGTTTACACCTGAACAGTATCAGGATGTTTTAACTCACAGAGGCCTGCAGGTCTTCTGTTTTATGAGCAAAGCGCTGAGAATCCGCTCGTTATGAGCGCTAAACGTTATTTTGCCGCTGCCGTGCGGAGCGGTAGGAGCGGTAGGGAAACACATTTCAAACACGGAACCGAGTCCGGTTACCGAACCAAGCAGAATTCTGATGACATCACACCGGTGCGCGAAGGTGCGGGTTCCAACCCTCAGGAGAGGAGGGAGAGAGGAGGTGAACAGAGAGTGGATCACAGGGACTGAACTGATGTTTTGGAGCAGAAGTGTACACCCACACCCCCCACGGTTTAGATGTGGCGCTCATGCAGGTGTGTCTTTCTGTTCCGACACTGCTACACGTAATATATTTAATTTATTAAGCCTATGATTTATTTTTACTCAGTAACGGATATGATTTAAAATGTAGCGAATTACAATTCTTTTTAAAAACTTACTCGAGTAAAAGTAAAAGTACAGCTTTTAAAAATGACTTAAGTATAAATATACAAAAAAGCTACTCAATTACAGTAACGTGAGTAAATGTAATTCGTTACTTTCCACCTCTGTAAGGTTTTACAAGGCTCTGACACAAGAAACATAATCCTGACGTTTGTTAGTAATCAATTTGACAGGAGTCTGAAACAGTTTCCACATCAATGCCATCACAAACAAGGATGTCTTTACTGCACTGGCAGACATAGTACAAACTCCTGCCTCTATGAGCTACGTTGATTTACTATCAGGAAGAAGAAGAAAATATTTCTATAGCGCCTCTCAAGATAAAAATCATGAGGCGCTTCACAAAAACAAAAACAAAAAATATAAAAAATTGTAAAAATATAAAAAAGCACTTAGAAAATGTTTAAAAATATATTTAAAATGAGCAAGAATAAGCAATTGTGATTTAAAAGAAAAAATGTTAAGAAAGAGAGAGAGAGTGAATAGGAAAGAGGGAAAGGAGAAGGTGAGTAGCCTCCATGTTGGACAATAGGCATTATTTTAAATGGGATTTAAGTGATTTTGTCTCTGAAAGAAAACAAAATCGTAGTAAAACCAGAATGGTACAGAACAGCTCATATGATGTATTTATTTAAATTATAACAACTTTTTGATTAATCACAATAAATTAGTTTGTATTTAGTTTGTTATCTTTGACCTCATAACAGTTTATTGTCTGGCTTGGGACTTTGTTTTTTGCTGTTTTGTATTTGTTACGGTTGCCAGTCTGGCCAGTGAAAAGCAGGAGCCAGGATCACTGGTGATCAGCCTGACACCGCCCCTCCTCCTCCTCTCTCCCAGGCTGCTGAGAAGCACAGCTGAGCCGAATCCCAACACCTGTATAACAGGGCTGTGCCTTCAGCAGTCTGGGAGGCAGCAGTGCAGGGGTTCTGCTGTCCTCCCGGTTTTTGTTTTGGTTTCAACCCCTTTCGTTCTGATGAGTTTTAACTGTGGTAGTTTTAACTCTGAGTGATCCAGTGGGATCCTTTTGTGTGTTTGTTTTAAAGGTTAACTTGGTTTGGTGCAATTTTACTGACTTTGGTTTTAAACACCTTCATTGTGGTAAAGCTTTTTAAAATAAGTTTTTTTTTTTTTACCAGCTGTTTTAGTCAGTAGATTGTTTTAGACTTTTATCAACTTCGGGTTTTTAAGAACACCTTCGGTTCGGTAAAACTGTTAATATAAGTTTTTACCAGGTGTTTTTATGGTTGCCAATTTGTGAGTTCTGTTTGTTTTGGGCATTTTCTTTATAATGATCCATCTATTTGCTCGTTTTTAGAACCTTTTGTTACAAATAAAACCATTTTAAACTCCACCGGCATCTTTCTTATGTTACCCCCTCCTTCGCTTTTTTACCAACACCAGTCGGGGACGTAACATAACTGGGGGGCTGGATCAGGCTCGTGGACTCTGAGCCCATACATCCAAATAAAAACTTTTGATGTAAGGAGATAGTTTTGCTTTGACAGGATGCAAATCGTACATCCTGTTTGGGTCTTTGCTTTTAGACCCACCACAAACTTCATGTTTACAGAGAAAATTAATTTACAATAACAATTTACAATTCATTTGTTGAAGTCTGGGAAACTTTTCAATACTTTTTCATTTTAAGGAAAAATCACTTAATGATTTCACATTCTCACAACAGCCCGAGTAACCAGAGACGACCCCTTTCCAGCTCAGTAAAACAGCAGGGATCATCTCTGGAGTCTGCAGAGATAAAAATAAAACGCATTTGTTCTTCATTCTGGAGTCAGCTCAGTGGGCAAATCTGTCAGATTGCATTTGTGATGCTCCTAGCACTCGCTGCATGCATTTGTCGCTATGCAGAGGTTTGATTCCTTGCCGACATCATGCGGCTCGATGAAATCATGCTCGCTGGCTGGACAGGGCACGGTCTCTCTCGCTCTCTCTCTCTCTCTCTCTCTCTCTCTCTCTCTCTCTCTCTCTCTCTCTCTCTCTCTCTCTCTCTCTCTCTCTCTCTCTCTCTCTCTCTCTCTCGTACTTATCGTCAAAAGGGGTGAGGTAAGTGCTAAAACACCACTGAGAGGATTGCTGCAGAGTGGCCAGATGACTGACTTTGTGTTTTGGCATCCTTTATAAAAACACTGACTGAGCAATTACCTCCCCGTGCGTAATTAGCCAACTTGGCTGTGGAGCAACGCTCATCTCACTTCAAGTCGCAGCACTCCAACAGTGGTTGCTTTGGTGGGAACACAGACCACCAACAAATACGTTCTCACACCTGCACATGAGAATAGAGCTGTGTCCGCTGACCTCTTCTGGAGCTATACAGGTGCTGGCCAGTAAATTAGAATATCATCAAAAGGTTGAAAATATTTCAGTAATTCCATTCAAAACGTGAAACTTGTACATTATATTCATGCAATGCACACAGACCAATGTATTTCCAATGTTCATTACATTTAAATTTGATATTCATAAGTGACAACTAATGAAAACTCCAAATTTGGTATCTCAAAAAATTAGAATATTCTGAAAAGGCTGAATATAGAAGACACCTGCTGCCACTCTAATCAGCTGATTTACTCAAAACACCTGCAAAGGCCTTTAAAAGGTCCCTCAGTCTTGTTTTGAAGGCACCACAATCATGGGGAAGACTTCTGACTTAACAGCTGTCCAAAAGACAATCATTGACACCTTGCACAAGGAGGGCAAGACACAAAAGGTGATTGCTAAAGAAGCTGGCTGTTCGCAGAGCTCTGTGTCCAAGCACATTAACAGACAGGCGAAGGGACGGAAAAAATGTGGTAGAAAAAAGTGTACAAGCTCTAGGGATAACCGCACCCTGCAGAGAATTGTGACGACAAACCCATTCAAAAATGTGGGGGAGATCCACAAAGAGTGGACTGCAGCTGGAGTCAGCGCTTCAAGAACCACCACGAGGAGACTCATGAAAGACATGGGATTCAGGTGTCGCATTCCGTGTGTCAAGCCACTCTTGAACAAGAAACAGCGCAAGAAGCGTCTCGCCTGGGCCAAGGACAAAAAGGACTGGACTG